TTAGTAGATCTTACAATTCAAGTTACACCGAWTTACAKAAGAGTATTCTTACMTTGACTTGACAATTTGTGAGTGAAARAAAACTCCGATTAATGAAGAATGAGAAAGAGTTAATTTGAAGCAGAGCTTTCTTCCTCATTTAACACCTTTTGACAAACTATTTTGAGATCGTTCTCTTTCATATGGGGAATGAAGAAATAAAAATGTTGATCCGATGAGGTGGCATTCAACGTAATTGATTCTCAAAATATTCTTCACATGAGGTAGTTCACATGAGAACATGTTTTTAATGGCTCAAACATCATTACACAAATATTATTTCAAAAAAAATTCGAATATTAACTAAATCCTTTATGTACATCAACAATCATTATTTTATCCACTATGTTGCTTCAAAGAAGTTAAACTACTTATTAGTTATGATACATATATACATAAATATCAAGAGAACGATATAAATGTCATAGTGAGGATGAATCACATTTTAATTAAAAGGCCACTTTTTATCCAAAGACAAAGACAATTGGTTTTCTAAGAATCAAAACTTTCAACCACACAACAACAATACCAAAAAACCCAAGCAGACTATATAACTTTTCCGATGGATTCTTCTCCTTTTTCCTAAAAAAAAAACATTAAACAAATCATGAATCTACAAAACAAAGGCCAATATATCCAAATTCAAATCCAACAAACTAAAAAGAGAAAGCAATAAAAAAGAAAACTATGAAAAGTAACCATACTATTTTTTTAAAAGATGGAGTCTTCTCTTCGAAGCAAAAATAATGAAAAAAATAGAGGAAAGCATAGGAAACAAAATAGATCGATTAATATATGTACTTTTTTGAAGAACACAACCCCCACACATCATACAAACCAAAAAAACCTTCCTTGAAAACACTTTAAAAAATATCATAATTGATAAGATAGGGAATATCATGCATATGAACAAAAAYARCAAACGAACTACCGAATAAAAAKCAACAAACAAAAGAAGAGGTCGAGACTAATAATAAAAAGGTGATTCTTGTGTGGCAGGTGTAAGAGGTCGAGACCCCAGGTGGCATTGTTGTAAATAACCCCACCGATTCAAACAAATGTAAACTCTTTATGTGCGTTTTTTTCGGTTATTACCCATGCATGCATCTTTTTCTATCCTTAAATGGAGCTATATATGGACCTTTGATCCACATTCTTCTAGCGATTATGTCCCCTAGATTCTCAATCGCGGCTGCAAATCTTTACGTTTTGAAAGCAACCTATAAACCAACAAATTAAACCAGTATTTTCTCATCTAGCAATCAAAAAGAGAAGGTTTGTTTGAGAATTGTACCTTGCATCGCAAATGTGCATCTAGAGACTGGCTAGTCTTGAATATAATATTTTTAACATAAAATTTTTTTTTGAAATCAATTGCATTTAGCTAACATTAAAAGTCAAGAATAATAGAAAACATAAACTATAAACCACTAAACATCAGAAAACACACATGTGTAAAGAATTTTGTACGTTTCCGAACCGGAGAAACATCCTATATGAAATCTGATTCTCAATTGTTTGCCTAGACATAAGATCCGTTGATTGTAGAGAGAAACAACACATACATCATATCTAAATTTTCTTGAAAGGGTCTCCAGACCAAAACTTGACCATCAAAACACACAACAGAAATCACGATGTATAACCGAAGAAAGACCAAAAGAACCCATGAAAATTTTCGAACAAAGTACCAAAGCCCGCGAGACTCTCTGCCAAAAAAACAGGGCAAAAAAATTGAAAAAAGTGGATAACGGGATTTGAGTTAAAAAGCATGTTCTTTTGAAAAACGCTGTGATAGTGACTCCGTCACAAAATTATACGTTACTTGAGACTCAAGTATGTCGAGAATAACACCATTAACATTGTGAAAATAGCCGCAGTGACCATGCCAACTATCGCTGTTTTTTCCAGCGTTACCGGTGACACCGTCATCATGCACGAAAGTAATCGCAGCGTAACTTTACTTGTTTTTGTTTAACATCAACTAAACAAATTATTAGCTTTTTTTAATTCTTTTTTTGTATTTTTTTTATTCATGCTTTTTTTATATTCGAAAATTTATGATTTTTTCTTGATATTTTTAGTATAACATTAATTTTTCTGTCGATAATTTTTTTTCTTCTAAGAGCTGTCCTCTCCCTCTCTCTAGCTTTGTTAGCTTTGTTAATAATAATTCTTGATAGCGGTTCTCTTATAAAGGTTTGTTATCCATCAGTAGCAACTCTTTTGCTATCTCGGTTCAGTCCGGCATCCTATGAAAACATAGTTTTTATACATCTGAGATATTACATTAAGTTTATAAACACTGCCGATGCCAAGCCTGGGTCGAGTAAGAGAAGTGGAGCTATATGCAAAGCAAAGAGACATAAACTTTTCTCAAATTCATTACTACAAAATTTTAAACTTTACTCGTAAAAGGATTTCTTACTAAAATATTATGCATAGACAATACTTAGAACAATGAATTCGTATAAATTCACCCAAAACCCCAAGCCAACATATCAAATAATGGTTATACAAAAGCATCCATGTTTATTCATTTATATATTAAATAATAGCCATCACGTCCTGCAACATGAAGATAACCATATCAAAGCATTAAACATATTTTATTAAAACCAAAAAAGTGCATTAGACATATAGTAAAGGCTCCACAGGTTAGAAGAAAAGAAACGAAAAAAGAATTTTTCATTATATTTTTTACAACATCAAATGTACACGACTAAAAAACCTTTGGAAATTGTTCGAAATCATATAACTGAAAACTTATGAACAAATTAAGCAAACTAAAGAACTTTATCTATCAACAATACCGTTAGGAGCAGTATAGTTGCTGAGAAAGATATCTTAAGAGAAACAAAACTGAATGCTAGATAACCTAGTGAGAATAAGGATGCTACACAAAGATTAGGAGTACCATGTGATATGGGTCGGTCGAGCCAAGGCGTTAATGAGCTTGTCGAAGATTAGACTCATGACTTTCAAAGTGCTGTGAGAAAAGAGAACACAAAAGAAGAGAACGCTTTACATAAGGGTAATTGCATAGAAAAATAAATCAAAATTTATTGTGTGTTTGAAGAGAAAGAAACTGAAAGAAAATCCAGACAGTAAAAACTATGGGAATTTTAGGGAGAAAAAAGAGATACGTACGCATAAGAAAATCAAGAGGATTGCGGTGAGTCAGTTCTTCTTCCTCATCTTTTGATATATATAGGATCAAAAAATAAAATAAACATTCATGAGAAACATGAGGATCCAAATTAAACAACCACCTAGAAGCTTGAAGATTAGTTTTATATTCATGCGAAACATGAGGATCAGTTCTTTTCCACTGTTGATGAATATGAAAAAAATTAGCCAGAAAGAGTTAGCCGTCATGATTTGAGAATCGTGTTGAATATCATATGGATAAATTGAGTTCTAAGCACAAACATGACCTTGTCATGGAAGAGAAGACGGAAGAATACAAATTTCCAATGGATTTTTCTTCAAATTGAAAGAGAAACATACCTAAAAAGACTGGCCGTAA